GACTTGATTCAGTGTTTCAAGGCACAGAGAATCTGCTTGGGTGATACAGTTCTAACAAAGTAGATGCCCAGATCATGTGGGCAACATATGAAAAACCCGGGCAAAAAAGGGAACACATGTTAGAAAAGAAAAAAGGTCAGTGTATAAGACTGTCATTTACAGGTGATACTATGACGGTGATAGTCACTCGAACGTGGACCACTGCGATCAGCCAAATGTACAGCTGAACTCCGTCACAATCGCTTCCGGATCAACCCTCAGGCTGAAACTCAAAGGTAAAGTTCCTGTGTCTGCGAGCTGGTTCTACATTTGCTGTTATACTTTAGAACACTTTCACTGTAGAACAGTCGCTCGAGCAGACGCCTGACACCGAGTTCGTGAACATTAGTGGGGTACTAAAGTCAGTAACGCGCACCGTCTGTGCACACTTTGTCGAGTCGGGTCACCTAATTGACTGGGTCAAGGCGTTCCACTCACTATCAGGTGTATGAACCACCATCCAAACGTATTTATTCAACATTGCAGAAGCAGTAAAAATTCGCGTTCACAGCCCCTTGTGCACACAAAACGGTTTCAACCATTAAGAACTTTTCTATCTGTTCGATTCGTATTTATCAGTTATTTAAATCATTTAAACCATTTGTTTTACACATCCGTCCGTTAAGTGCCTCTCTTTTCTATTCTTCGTTTTGATATCGTGTTAGACGTCAACATCCTTTGTTTTAAGTGGAAATGTCTGAATAATTTCTTTTGTGTTGGTACTTTGTGGGTATTAAGATTTGATTGTGTTGGATGTTTTTATACTGCTTTTTATCACATTTATTGGCTTTCAAGATTATTTTCTAATGAACTCGCGTCATCTGTATTTTGTCCAATTCAGTTGCATCGGGCGTTTGAACTGTTCGAAGATCCAATCGATGTTCAAGCATGGTGTTTTGGTCTCGCGGAGTACGGTTTGTTCGCCAGTGAATTCACTCGTGAATGCTCATCGTTTCCTGAACATGATTGTGCATTGTGGTCTCTGTCTTTTGACGGAATGGAAGACATCAAACTACGCTCGTTCGACCCCTTGAATCTACAGACAACCGAGGAAACTGAATTGCCAGATCCATGTAATCTGAAGCAACAGCTTGGTTATTCTGATTTAGACAGCTGGGAGGTCGCGCACTACGAACTGCGGGAATACTTGACATCACTGGAAGATCGGTTCACACCGGATGCGTGTGCATTACTCACATACGAATGCACCTCTCCCGAGTTGTCAACTGCTTTTGAGAAAACAGAACCATGGGACAATTTTGGATTCCCTACAAACGCTTCCCAATTGAACGTAAGTGTTCCATGTTTTCTCATTATCGGCCACTGGACGATGCATGTGTATTGTTGGGATTTTATTAGTTTTCCCTTAACCAGCAGTTGTAAATGGGCTGACTCCACCCGTTCATATCTGGTTATATCACCAATTTTGAGTAGCCCAGTGTTTATGCTCCGGTACAAGTTACATTTAGTTGTGAAGGATCCATGTTGTTTAGCCACTAATATCGCACTCACTGGATGTCATATCAATTTTGCTTACAACTGATTATATAAACAAAACCCGTGTTTTCGATCAAATGGCTCAATTTCTTTGATTCAGTTACAATCTAAGCGTAATCATATGCTAATCAAAGTTTGGTTTGTTACTTCTTATTTTTTCTCTGTTTTTTACTTTTACCGTTGTATTTTCATTTGCCGAACCTTTTTTTTGAAATATCCTCGTTCCAGATCTGGGAGCCGTTTGTCTGTGATAATGCTCTCAAATCGCGCACCCCACAGAATACTTCGTATATGGCAAATACAACGGAAATCAGTTCATCATCAGCGGAATCGTTTCATGATGTATACAATGAGTTTTCTGTCGATTTCGACGAGGTGGATTGGGGTTACGAATCCGAACCAATGACTGAGCAAGAATTACCTCCTATTACTTTACCACCTGTAACCACCATGTCAACCACAAGCGGCGGCGTTGCAGTAGCCGGGCTAAATCTCAAACGTTCCGAATCGAGTTCAGTAACCAATGCGCATACCCATATGGAGAAACCAGCTGATGTTTCCATTTCCCAAACAGCAACACGCTCGACATCTTCAGGCCCTAGTTTGAAACGTCGCAAACTGGTCGGAGGTCCTGGTTCTAGAAGAGCAGCTGTCGCAGAACAAGTTCCTCCATCGCCGTCCACTCTCGATGAACCCGCTATTCATATGCACAATCAAGGTAAGTCCCCCTGCCGTACAGCGACCGTTGACTGATGTAATAGTAAACAAGCTTGTTTTTAGTTTTTCATTCTCGAACCCATTTTCTTTTTGATCTGCATAATTATTCCGTTTTTGGTTAGTTGATGAAACACCGAAAACGAGCTTGTTTGCCACTTTGTCTACCAATGCAATCACCGGGTATATTGGCCCATCGCCGTTACTTCATTGTGTCCCACGTAAGGAACATTTGTTGTGCTAACTGCCATCAAATAATCAAATCAACGTAGTTGCTTCCAATCGGGCTCCCCATATACCTGTCTCTTTTTCTGAATCCAGGTGAAGATTCCGATGTTTCCATGGTACCTTCACCATGTTCTATATCTTCCACTTCGCGAGGTGGAGTCAGCACTCGAGAACCTACATCTGGTGTAACTGGATCTGGCATCGCTTCCGGTGGTGGCTTTGCAGGTGGTGCTGTACTTACTGGAAACGTCAACAACAGCACTGGCAACACAAACGGTACAGTTCTGACCACCATACATTCACAATCGGGCAGTGTTAATGCTGTAACTTTACGCCTACATATTCCTCGAGCTACTTACAATAAGGAAGTTGGAAGTGCTCGGAATAATCGTTTGCGGAGGTCAAATGCATCATGTGCGGGTGGTTCAAACGCAGCAGCCGTAGCGGCTATGGCCACCAGTGCTCAGTTGAACAAAGCTTCCTCCTATCAATTCCAAGGTGCTCAGACACCCACTGTGGGTTCTTTCCCTAACCCGGCCACATTAGCGCGTTACGGTCATACTTCTCCTGGACGATCATTGCACCCGGCCCTTTCAGTAAGTTCCTTTTATGACCATGCCAAGTTGGCAGTCTGAAGTCGTACTGTTTTTGTCAAGGGCATGAATAGCATTCAAAAATCCTGTTGTACTCACTGAAACACCCTCATTATCTGATAACAGAATTAGTGTTTCTTTTCCAGGTTACTTCCATCAGCTTTTACCGGTGCCATGAGGTAGCTGCACTGTTTTATTCTGTCTCTGGTTCTCTAGTCGCCCAGTTATGAAGTGCACAGATGCTTCTCTGCTAGTCAAGTCGCTTTTCCTACATGGAATTCCTACCGTCGTCCCTCATTACTTAAGCAGCTCTGTTTAATCGAAGATACTCGTGATAGATGAACCGATTTCAGTTTTATCGCTGGTTTCCGAATTCACACTCTGAGACTCTTCCGGTCTGCCTCCTAGTTCACTTCAGATTATTTTCCAGTATTCGCTCTCGAAACAGAACGTTCGAGATTATTTGTTTCCCCCTTAACATAATCGATTTAACTGTATTAACTCTATTCTTTTCCTTTCAGGAAGTTTGGCACAAACGAGAAATAAACTACTCACTTCAGTTTTGTTTACGTTTTCAAGGTTCTTATTTGCAAGTACCTATTCGCTACGAATTCCGTCTGTAAATGTAGTTAAATAAAAATCTATCCGATCAGTATACGTAAATGTTTTCGTGTTGTCCCTACATGATTGCCACTTTGAATTCCTTCCAGACTCCTTCATCTCTCTCGGTGCGGTACGGCGTTTCTTCTCAGCCGACTTCCGGTCAACTTGCCAGTCAAGGAAGCAGCACTCAAGCCACCTCCAATGTCGGTCAGATTCANGATTCACGTGGGGAAGCCTTTGGAATGGCTGCCGTACGAAGAAGCTGCTTTGTACCTGGTATGTGTTCAATTTACCCTGATGTTCAGTTTCAAAATAAACCACATGATTTTACTGTGATTGGGGTCGGTGGATTGTGTTGCTCTTAGGTTAAACATTCACCCTTTATTATATTCTCAATTTACGTTCCTCGATAAAAGTAACTTATTGACGTCCACGATATTGACCAATGTACAGTGAAGCAAATGAGTAAAACTTGATATTTTTGGATTCCCCGTTTCTCATGTCGTTCTATTTCATATCGCCTTCCCACTCTTCTCCATGGTCATGGTAGTTCCGTTCGTGCCATGCTTATGCGCATGCAGTTGAGAGTAAAATGCATATGGAAAACATGATCAGTGCAACGTGAACAACAAGCATTGATTATAGGCGTGATTCAGGTTACCACCTGATTCGGTCGCTCGGGATGTTACGTCTTAGCTCTTAGCTGTTTAGGAGACGTTGCCCATCATGACACCATAGTGCACGAAAGCAATAGATCTGATGTTTCTCAAAGTAATAATGTCACTAGACGTTAGGCTCCACCTATCTTCTGTGTTGAACATTAGATCACGCCACCGTTTTGTTTTGTTTATGTTGTATACTGATCATATACAACTTTCGGTGAAGTTGAGTAAAACACTTGCATCTGTTTTCATCATTCAATAAGTTTTAATTTTCTTTTACGTTGTCCGTTTTTTTAGTGTGTCACCAAAATTCAGGATTTACCTTTTGACCTGAGCAGCAATGCATCCAACGTTTGCCCCAATTTCCGTCTGGTGGAGTTCTTTATGAACAACTATGTCCCCACTCGTGGTTACCGTGGTGCTCGCCAGTGTCTTCTGATGCACTCCAGAATGTTGTCTGTAGTAGCTACTGCTACAGCTGCTCTTGCGAATGGTGCTTTCAACTTTCCACAAACCGTGTCGGCTCTGGGACTGTTCAGTGGTGAGGATGGATCTCTGTCCGCTTCATGTGAGTCTGTTTTCCTGACATACCTCTTTCCAATTTCTTTCGCATCGATGTTTCAGATTTTTTCCGTAGTTTTTCTTACAACGGCAAAGATGCCACCATTTCTTCCTACGTGGTGACGGAAAAAAGAGACTTGAATTCGCAACTTGGTCGCCAGCTTGTTTGATACAGTTCGTGCCATCTTTCCATCTGATAGTTGGTTACATATGGATCCCGCTACTCACTAGTCGGCCTTAACAAAGTGATTCGTGAGCGGTGTTCATATTCGTACCCACTTAGGTTCTTTGGGTATTAACTAACAAAAAAATGCAGATACGTTTTGTTGTTTATATATAATTAACACCAATCTTCATAGATACGGCGCCAAAATAACCGTGGGTTGTCGAAAATATGGCTACAGAAACGGGGAAAACAAAACAGTCAACTTGGATGAATAACAAATTTTGTTTGTTTACTGCACGCCATTTTGAATTTTTTGTTTTTATTTATTTTCCGGATTGCACACAGGAGAGGATGCATTCACATCACTGAGTTTTTCTTAAGTACGGTCTAGCTAATTGCATCTCATTGTTAAAGCTCCTGGTAACGCGTTCTTACCCTCCTTTTTCATGCGTCTATTAGCTCCGCTGCACAGCACTGCAACATCGCATGGCCCGACCGGCAGAAAGGTTAAAAACAAACTGAAAAGCGCTGCCGCAGCTGCTGCGGGTATAGCTGGAGCTGCGTCTCAGCAAAGCTCTTTGGCGAGTGGAGCGGCATCCACTGGTGCGGGCAGTGTACCCGACAGCGCCGTCGCGGTCAGTCGTTATCGGGCCTACCTTGCTTATCAGGTACGCAGAAGTACATCCTTACTTGACTCAGCCACTGTTGGGTTGTGCTTCTTTTGTCTGTATCGGGTTTTGTTGAG